TTAAAAATGATGGCTGTTCATAAAAAAGAACAAAATCATGAATTTTGCAGCAACCTGGATGGAACTAGAGTCTATAATACTGAGTGACCTCACACAGAAACAAAGATCAGAATATCACATGTTCTCACTCATATAATGGACCTTGAACATCCAATGTAATACTATAACAAAATGACTGACGGTACTGGGAAACTATGGGGGGGAGGGGGAGGGGATTAACAGTAGCAAATATCTGTCTGGGGCTGGGAAAACACCTCTTATCAACAGGGTGTTTGAATGAAACGTAATTGTACACCTAACCCTTAACTGTACCCCACAAAACTATAATAAAAATACTGATTAATTATTAAAAAAAAAAAAAAAAAAATGATGGCTGTTAAGTATGAACCAGCCTACCACTGTTAGTGAAAACCCTTTGCTTCTGTATTACTCCCTCTATTGCACTATATAAATGCCTCCTTGTCTGTGGCCACTTCTGGCTTTACTAGATAATCCATTCAAGTCTATTTTCATGTCGGCACTAAACAAGCTTTGTAAACCATAAAACCAAACACAAATAAAAGGGACAAGACATGGACCTTGGCTTCAATCACCAAGTTACTGCCAAGCAGCTTGTGAAAATCTCTTAAACAGAATTGAACTGAATCTAATCTGATTATAATGCCCACTTGTCCAGGACGTCTTAACAATGTGATCAATATTCCTTTCTTCTACATTACTTAGAAGAAACTAATAGAGACACATACTTTAAAATGTTTTGCCATCAATAAAACATTACACATGTTTATCAATAAAAATGGCATTAAAAGGAACTGGAAATACTAATAGGGTTGTCAGTGAGGAATATTAGCTACTTTCAACTTTAGCCCCCCAAAATAGATTTCATTGAAAGAAGTAACTTATGTTGATAAAAATTTCTCAGCTAAACATTATCTAATCAAAAAATATTTATTGTTTCAAAGGAAAATGTTACTCTGTCTTTTTTAAGTAAATTATTTCCCTGACACGACCCTCTAACAATAAAAAGGTAGATGCAAAGAATTATTTAAAAACAGTAGAATTTTTAAAAATCACTGAGATACAGTTCCTTGTCTGTCTATGACCTTGAACCTCAACTTGTCTGGCCTGAGATTTTAAAATAAAATATAAATAAAATTACTTGACTAGATTAATGACCTTAACTAAGTGGAGAATGGGGGCCACTTTGGGGGCGGGGTGCATATATTCAAATGACCTGGGAGCTTTATCTTTGATTAGAGATTTTGAAAAATCCCTGCCCATCGTGATACTGAGCATTTTGATCTCAGCAAGTCACTGTTACTTATGGAAACTCTACTTCTCAGATGGAATAGGAGTGGTGAACAAACCCGGCATCACTGAATTAGATGACCTCCTATATTTGTGCTAGCTCTAACATTCCATAACAAATGCTTTCAGAAGAAAATTAATTTCTATTCACGGACTGCTATTCCCTCAGCGATCGTTACAAATCAATTCCGGAAGCAAGCAGGTATGCCATCCTCGAAAATAAATCACAATGCAAGTGAAATCAGATTGCAGAAAAGAGTATAATCATTTATTTAGAAATGTATCTGAAGTGTAAATTTATTTCTTATTGATATACAATTCCATCAATACATCTCAAACCTATAAATTATTCTGCAAATGCACATTTACTTCCCGTTTACATTCTAAAAGCATCACTCTAACATAGGTTTGGATACTAGAACCAATTTGCCCCTGAGAAACTGCACTAACTTATCCCCTTGCTGTGGGATTTCCAGCATGGCCATAACTATTAAGACAGTCTATGTTGTAGAATGACTTTATCCTAGTTATTCACAAAATAAAATATGTTATGCAAACATTAATGAGAAAAGATGAATATAATGAAGAATGCAAAAAAGCTGACTTTTTTTTCTTTTCTTTTCTTTTTTTTTTTTGAGTTGGAGTCTCACTCTGTCGCCCAGACTGGAGTGCAGTGGCTGCTCCCGCCCACCGCAGCCTCGACCTGCTGGGCTCCGGGGATCCTTCCGCCTCAGCCTTCCAAGTAGAAAAGCTGACTTTTCAAACTTTTTTAGTAATTGCTTTTTCTTTTCAGCATAGTTTACTACATACACACATACACACACACACACACACACACACACACACACACACACGGTGGTGTGCCAATAAAGCTTTAGCAATTGGCTTTCCAGAGGGAAATACACCCTGATTGGTAGGGTGTGTCAGTTTTCAAGTCATAAATCCTCTATGGCTGATTTCAAGTTCTCAGCACACCAACAATAAACAGAGTTGGCAAGAGATGCACACACTTAGCCTTGTGAACTGGTAGAGTCAGTGCCAACACACGGCTGTAGCATAGTTTTCTTATGATACAAACAAATATTTCATACATAAATGTGTCATATACAGTATAAATACAACTTCTCAAAATTAAGTCATGAATATTTTTCTTTTAAAATCATATTGTGGCTGGGTGCAGTGGCTCATGCCTATAATCCCAGCACTTTGGGAAGTTGAAGCAGGAGGATTGCTTGAGCCCAGGAGTTCAAGAGCAGCCTGGGCAACATAAGAATAAGTCATCTCTACAAAAACTTTAAAAATTAATTAGCCGTGTTGGTGTACACCTGTAATCCTACCCAGGAAGCTGAGTTGGGAAGATTTCTTGAGTCCAGGAGTTTAAGACTGTGATGATACATGATTCATGACTGTACTATTGCACTACAGTCTGGGTGACAGAGTGACACTCTGATTCAAAAAGTAAAAATAAAATCATATAGTAAAAGAGTGAGTCCATAATCACTTTAACTATAAATTGGTTAAGTCAGACAGTTAGGGTATATGTGTAAAGTAGATAATTTTCAATTGTTACAGGCACAGTCAGAATGGTTAAAGAATGGCTTAGCCTTCTCACTTAGGTAAAGTCTAAGTGGTATATTTTAGAATTAACACACTAAACTAAATAGGCATACAAAAAATTCATAAATATATATTTCTCAAAATTAATGAATCATATAAACACCTGAAGCAGCAAACCTTTATCCGAAGTATGAACTATGCCAATAGCAATGATCTGTTTTCTAGCTACTTGGCCCATTTATCTTCATGGAGATTAATAAAGAGAATAAATATGTATAATAGAGGTATAAGAGCATACTGAATTTAGTGCAGTATTGTATTAAAGTTATAACCCTGTTTTGAATTCTGTCTTTGGAATAGTACCAAGAAACACACTGAGGGAGAAACTGAAGGGCAATTTTCAAATTAATAAATATTTATTGAGCTGCCTCTATGTGCAAGATAGAGCACCTAGGCACTAAATGGTACTCAAAAGTGAATGCATACAGTCTTCTCATTGAGCTTACAAACAAGAAGGGGTAACAAGACAAGATATTCAGTATTGAAAATACAAGGATAGTAGGACCCATATGAAGGAAAGATACTATTTGGGCAGATATGAAAAGCCTTTCGGGACAAGGTCGTATGAAAAGAAAATGAAATAAATGATAACTTGAGCAAAGATGAATAGAATAGGTTCTACTAAACTTTGTCCAGTCTCAACCTGAGATCACCTTTTGCTAAACCATGATATTTCAGCTTCTTAATGACTATAGGAAAATATGTTCTGGCCATTGTAAGAGTTCTTAAAACAAGGTGTCTTTCTGCCTTAGTGGGCAGCATCGTGAGGCTGTTGGATCCTGTCTTTGAGTTCTTTAATCAGTAACAGGCAGAGGTGCAGATAAGTTAAAAAACAGCTTCAGCAGACATTGGGTCAATCTGGATACTAGGATGAATGACCAGAGAACACAGGATGGAAGACAACTCCAATGATTCACTTAACACTCTTTGAGGAAAAGAAAGACTTGGGGCAGAATTGGGTAGTTTCTCAAGGCTACTAGTGAAAAAGCATTTGTAACTGAATTGCATCTGTTTGGGCATCATAGTAGTTTTGGGTGCAAATTAATTATTCAAAGAGTATTATCAGTAAGAATAATTTATTAATTAATTCATTCTACATTTTTTTTTCCCTGAAACAATTCAAAGTGCATGGAAGAACCTTGTTTATCAAAGACACCCAAAGCAGTTTTCCTCTAAACGAGTAATTTGCCAGCATTAGCTGAGTCTAGAAGGTGCCAAAAAAATGTGCATGCATTTTAAAAGATGTTATCTATGTATTGCCTTTTGAAGTTGAATTAAATTACAGTAGTAATGTGTAACATGACTTTCTCAGCCTTACTGCCGCCATTGTTTTGACTGTCCTGCCACATGGTGTCGCTAGTATTCATTTGATTATTGCTATCTTTTGAGAAAACATCATACTTAAAATGTGTATACTTTTTTTGGCACCCCCCCCCATAGTTTAAAGCTGAATATAAATCATCATATTTTTCCAAAACTCTTATATTTAAAGCAAAAGTCTTAGGAAAATATTAGCATTAATAAGTAAATTGTCTCAAGTAATTCTACAACAAATTACTAAGATCAGCAAAATACGTGTATATGTACAAGTGTGTATCAGATTTTGTAGATAACAAACTAAGGATTTCCCAAGCTGGTTTTCATTAGAGCCTGTCTTGGTAGATACTTCAAGTATTGTCACACCAACCTTGAGAAGAGTTCAAATCTAGAGAATGAATGAGGGGAGAGGTCTTGGCTGCAGGGATCCCTGGCCTCTACACAGAGGCCAGTAAGCTCTGCATTTTTATGAGAAGGATTTGCACTTTACCCAGCCCATGTTGTACGTTTCCTCAGGATTCATTACTATCTTAAAATAAGTGCTGAAAAATTTTGGTGCTGGGTCACTATAACCAGAATAATCGGCATGAATGCCACCCTAAATATCAAAAGGAATACAACTGAAATCATCACAAGGAATCAATCATGTGCTACTTGTCCATATGCACTAGAAGCTCTGTTAACAGTTGCAACTCATACACAAAGGCCAATAAACTTTACAAGTACTGGTTTATTGGGTATTCACTGAGAGTGAGTACCTGAAGGAGAAGGCTGTCCTTTTACTACACCATTTTTAGTCTTTTCTTCCGAATTCATGACTTCTTTGTAGATGAGTTCTGTAAGAAACAGGCATCTGTTATTATAGAAAACAAATTTCTTATTAATCCACAGAAAAAGTCATTTTTTAATAACAAATAATATTTTGGAGTTGAGTAAATTAAAAATCAATTGGGATTCCTTTACTTCTCTATTTCTATATTTCTTTGTAATTAGCATAAAGCCTGACATAAGCAGGTATTCAATAAAGCCATTGAATAAATAAATGTGGGAAGAATACACATTTCCCTTGAATTCTTTGGAAACTTCTGATGCATCCTAGCTTCATCTATGGAGAATTTTAATGACTTTGGTTTTGAACATCCATTTTTCTTTTACACACACTCCTTAATAGTCTCATGATTTTAAATTATTACCAATCCTTACAACTTTCATCTCTTACTGCATCTTTTTTTCCAGACTCATTATCTTGGATTTGTAAATCTAAACTTGCCTAAAATCCAACACAGTAAAAAACTTATTTCATTCCTTCCCAACCTGACATTGATTTTTGTCTTTCTCAATGCTAGAGTTAAATTGGATGTCTTCAATTCTTTCTATTTTGCCCCCTGTAGCTAAAAAATCATTCAGTTCTACTCATTCTTGCTTTGCAGTGGCTTACAATTTATACCATCATTATCTTTTACAGGTACTTCTTTCTGTAATTTCTCACAATTTTCATACTCTCCTCAAAGGATGGCTTTATTCTCTCACTTCCTGTCCATGAACCCCTAAGGAATGGGTGCCTGTGCTTACCTAGATCAAAGTAAGCCTTTTCCATCTACCATTCAGCATCTTTTTTCACTTGATCCACTTTCTGTATATGCTGTTTTCCATATTCACCAACATGACCTCTGCATCTCTGGACTCTCTTTACTATCTTTATAACATTTTTTGCTTATTTTTGCATTTTGTTTTCCTCTTAGTCACCACCTGCCCTCCCCCGCCCAGTATTTTCCTTCTTTTTTTCTTTTCCCAATTGACATTTACTAATTCCTTCAAGGTAGCCCAAAAGTTCCTTCCTTTCAGAGCTTCCCTTTATTTTATTCCCCATTTTGATCTGATCATTTGTTATCATCTGCGTTTGATTTTTTCATATTTATTTGATTATGTAGTTTTTTTATGTTAGTTTAACAATTCTTTACAAGTTCAAGTTATTTTATTTTCTGTTTTATTTTACCCTGAGTATAATCTTGAAGATGCCTGTGTTAGGAAAAGTTTTGCTGAAAAATGAATTAATGTAATCATTTTTTTTCTTAAAGAAGAAATAAGCCACTTAGATACACACAATTTCTATTTTAAGTTCTCAAGTCCTATAAATCCATTGAGAGTGCGTAAATGCATGTTTTACCTATTATTTATATTTTTAAGTCTGAAATCATCTGAGAACTAATTTTAGTGATCTTTTATGTGATGATTTTATGTACAAACATAGAAAGTTTAATTCTAAAATTCTGAGTGGAAGGTTGCCCCAACCATGACAAACATGTTGACAATTAGTTAATTACTTTCATCTTGAACAAATGCACTACTCCTCTTAGCATGAAAAAGCAGATGAAGTTATTGGAGCTTTACAATGATCTATGAGAATAGTAGTTAGAAAACCATCTCTCAGTAAATTATTTTAAGGAAAAGCCTTGAGCAGAATTTCTGAGTTTCAATAAAGCAAAAAGCATACTCTTTTAAAAAAGTATTAGCCTCACCTTTCCATTCCTCGATGGTATGTTCTCTTTCATCCAATTGCTTGTCATATATCTGAGGAGGAGGCTGCAGATAAAAATAAACAATAAACTTTGTGTAATAACCTAAACATAACTAAACTCTTACAATTCCTGAAAATGCCTTACTAGTCATTATTTTGGTGATCAAAATTTCATATAAATTATGAGGTAGTTCGGAATTTAAAACCTCCCCATAAACTTATGGAATTTATTTATATTGCAATATTTGCTGCTTACTAAATAAGGCACCAGAATCTAAATCCTGAGAACTCTCTTCCGGTATCTGATTCCGGACCCACGCCTCTGCAACTAATGGTTAGTCTTTTTAAAAGCAAAGAAAGCGCCTAATTGCAAAGTCCCAGAAGCTGCCATTTCCTCTAGTCCCTCGTTCTAAAACAAAGTCATACAAAAACTATCCTAAACCAGTAAGATTTTGTTCCATTTGTTGTACTTCCCCGAAGAAGCGTTTATAATATCTACATATCAGTTATATGTTCAGACCCTAGTACTAGTTCCCAATAGAAAAAAATACTTCTAACAAAGCAACCTTGTATTTGCTTGAAGCATCATAAAATACCTTTATATGTTGTGGTATATAAATGATTTTAATTATTTTAAGCTTTTTTTTCCTCCCTGACAAAGTGCCCATTAGCTATAGGGGTAAATCACCTTGAAATCTTGAGTGGCTGGTTAGTCCTATCTAGAAGAACTGATGTGACAGGGCCTATGGTCTGACTTGTCATAGTCTCCTTTCTATGTGGAGTTCAGATATGGAGAAGGAGAGATTTTTCCCAAACCTACGTGCCTGTTGGGAAGGAGGATGTCAGATAAACTCCCTGACCTCTTCTTCCTGACATTCACCCTTGAGGAGATCCCTCATGGTAGCTAGGGTGGCTTCAATTAGGCCAAGTGACAGGGAAAGAAAAAAAAATCTCTTGAAAAATAAATCACCATGAGGTAGAGAAAGACGGGGCTGAAGAGCTACACTGGTTGGCACTGAATTGAGTGCAAAGAAGAGCTACAAAATGGCATCATAAAACAGGAGATAATAGAATTAGCTCTTTTCCAATACTTATTTCAAAAACAGTAGTTTTTGTGAGAAACTGAGTCACTCAATAAGAGCGACTCAAGCCCATTAGGACCTGGATCCTTCAAAAAAGGCTATCATAAGGAAGGCTTGGGACAAGATTTTTAGAGATAAGGAACCTCGGCTGCTGTGAGAAGTTCCCTGCCTTTAGGCAGCACCCTAGTGCCACGGTGGCCCTTCTTTACGCATGCAGGATCTCTGGTAACCTGAACAGTAACAGGCACGAATACTCATCCTAGCCCCAACATGCTGGGGTGGCCTCACATCCTGCAAAAGTATTTGACTATGAAAATAGAAGATATTGTCCCGATGTGATGAGGCAACTGAGTATACTACTGATGTATTGAGAAAAAACAACAAAACAAAACAAAACAACTGATGGGGCAGACATTCTTGTAGCACCTGTGATTGCCACTGAAGCAGAAGGTTTTAAACCAGCTTCTGAAATGCAGCTGTGTCCAACTGAGTAGCTCTACCCAGCAGCAGTTAGCACCTGACAACTAAGCAAAACGAGACTTTTGCAGTCCTTCCACCTCAAAACTATGAAGGGACTCCCAAAAAACCTGGAATTTATAAAAAATTGTGTATTAATTCTTACATGTTTAAACTTGAGTCACCTTCAAAGTACTCTCCGTTGGATGCAAGACACCCATCGAGATGCTTTTTCCAGTGCACAAAATCGGTTTTTGAACTTAAGCATTTGGATGCCTTTTAGTGCTTCTGCTGTTTTTTGTTTCACCTCTTGCAATTGGTAGAATGTTTCCCTTTGAGGACTTTTTTTATCCAGGGAAACAAACAAACAAACAAAAAGTCGCTCAGGGCAAGACCGGATTAATTGGAAGGGTGGAGAATGGAGTTTTTGACCAAAATCACTGAACACAGCACAGTGTGGGAAGATGTGTTGTTATAGTGAAAGAACTAGTCACCTGTTTCTCACAACTCAGTGTGTTTCATCAGCAATGCAGGCTCTTACAACAATGCTAGCTGTTACACTGAGACCGATGGGTTCCTAGAACACTTACCTACCGGGGGAAGCCTAGGTGCAAGGAACAAGAGGCCTGCCCTCCAAAAGATAATTCTGGGGTTTTTGGGGTCCCCTCTCACATATAGGACTCCTAAACTATAGTAATATTATAATTGAATAAGTGAACAAATAAAATGAAGTTATTTTTGAAAACTTGTGAAACAGTTATCTAAGAAAGCTATAAAGCCAAGCTGAAGTTTTGTAAAGACACTTTGCCAAGTTGTAGATTTCCTGCTCTGCCTCTTCCCGAGCATGCCTGATGCTGCGGTTAGGTCCCCATCCAAGTGGCCTTCTCCAGGACCACTGCTGACACAGTATGCATAAGCTCTCAGGGCCCCCAGAGTCCTGTGGTTGTTGACATTCCTTCCTTCTTCTAACAATAGACCCGGTTCGGGATCCTGTGTGGCTGGCTTCTCCAGGCAGTGGATTTTTCCATTCAAGTTTTAAAATCGAACACGGCTCAAGAGTACCAGTCCTGCCAAAGTTCATAAATGCCATTTTCTCTTTGCAACAAAGCTATTTTGAGGAGGTTTTCCTTGGAGCTTCAGTGTACAGCTGTTGCTGATATATAAAGCACAAAGTACATAGGCTCTAATCACAAACAAACAGAGAGAAGGCAAAGTGCTGAGTCCAAGATTTTTTCTTTCAATAAACCAAGAGGGCTGCATTAAACACACTCACATTTATAGTTTTTGTTCAAAAGCCTCTGTATATGATCTGTGAGCTCATGCTTAGTTTTGTTTGTTGGTTGGTTTGTTTTTAATAGGGGATGCAAATGTCACCTTCAGTGCAAGGATGCATTCACATAAACATGTTCTCTATATGACAATATCAAAGAATAATTGGTCAACAATCCAAAAAAGCAATGCTATAGCACACACACACACACACACACACACACACACACACACACACACACACACACGTGCTTGACAGCAATCATTAGCATGTGACAGTCCGTAACATTCTCTGCCTCTGTCTGCTAAAGAGAAGTTGGTGTTTGATTGCTCGATTATCCTCTTTCTCCATCTTACTAAAGAGGAATGAGTCTCTTTTATTAAGTAACAATTTAAATAAAAATTATATGAGAAGTGGAATAAAGAGAAATGCCCCAGAGATGTTTGCTGCTGAGAGAGTATTTTAGGTGAGTTTAGCAGATTGGAACAATTTGAGATGTGAGAAGTTAAGGATGAGAGGAAATTATTTGGAGATGTGTTAGCGTTTGTCACCTTCATCCCTTTGAATATACTGCAAGAGACTGAAGATTCTCTTTAAGTTATTTTGGAAAATTTGAACTTTCTTTTCTTGATTGAAATTCTTGCAGAAACTGAACCATGGATTTATATGGATTGTATAAACAATGTGGATTAGATCCATTTTACATCCATGGTGTTATACATACATATCCAATTTTTTCAATTAAATGAAAAAAAAAACACGAACAACTATATAGCCACTGTGAGTTGTAAATACTAAATTATTTATTTATTAAATTCAGACTGTATGAGAGATTGAGATTCCAAAATTGAATAATGTGACTGCTGACCTCAAAGAGCCCATAATTTACTGAGTTAAGACTGATATAAAATAGATCATTGGTATACAACATGTGAAATGATAGAAATAAGTATAATGTATAGAAAGAAGACAAGAGAAACTAACAAAACTAGGAGTTGAACTCCTGGAATATGTGACATTTACTCATTGAGCAAAAGGTGTGTGAAAGTTTGTCAAGATAAAAGAGGAAGAAGAAAAAATGGTTCCAGGCCAGGAACACATCACAAGTCAAGGCACAGACCTAAAAAACAGAATGGCTGTGGTGGTGGTGGTGGTGGTGGTGGTGGTGGGGTATGTGTGTGTTTCTCTGCTTGTGTGCATGTATGTGTAGAGAAAACTGAAAGGTGCTTTGTGATAATAAAATATAATATATAGTCAGAAGCTAACAAAGGTTAGATCAAGAATGGCGATGGGTATCATGATATAGAACAAAGACTTTTAAGAAAATGGCAAAGCCAAACTCATGGCTAGATTAGAGAAAGATACAACTGGAAGCAGAGAGAAAAGGTAGGGCACTATTGTATAATCTAGAAAAAAATGTTAAAAGGTCTGGCTGGGATAGAGACTGTAATGATGGATAAAATATATAGATTAAACATAATTAATACATATAAAAATAGAATTGGTAGCATTTGATTTTTAATTTAATATTTACAGTGGGAAAGAAGAAAATGATCACCTAATTTCTAAACTGAATAGCTGGGCGGGTGGTACTAGTGATGCCATCTATAGAAATAGAGAATGGAAAAGGAGAAATGAGTTTGGTAGAGAGGAAAGCCTAAGTGCCATGTGAATAGAGATGTCTATTTGAGTGATCTTTCACAGCAACAAAGATCTGAGTATCACATGTTTTCACTCATAAGTGGACCTTGAACATCTATCGTAATACTAAAAGAAAAGGATTGACAGTGGTGGGACTCTATGGGGGGGACAGGGAGGGCAAGAGTGGTGGGATTAACGGTAGTCTATATCTGTCTGGGGATGGGGGAACACCCTTTATCAACAAGGGTGCCTGAATGATGCATATTTGTATACCTAACCCTTAACTGTACCCCACAATTTTAAAATAAAAAATATGTTTAAGAAAAAGAAAGAAAAGTAAGTATACGATTTGAAGTTCAGAATAATGCTGTTGGCTAGATATATATAGATTTGCAAACATCAACAAGAGGTGTTTGTTGAAACTATGACAGTGGGTAAGGTCACCCAGGGAAAATAGTAGTTACAAAGAGTAGGCTAAAGTGGACCACAGACAGACATCAAGGTGTAAAGATTAGACGGAGGAAGATAAGTTCACCAAGAAGAAAAAAAGGAACATTCAAGAAATACATGAAAAATGAGAATATTGCAATGCTATAAAAGTCAAGTAAGCAGAATT